CTCAAAAACAATAAATCTCCCGGCACTGACGGTTTGACTGCAGAATTTTATAAAGTTCTCAGATCAGTTAGCCCCTTTTTTACTACAGGTTTTTATGGAGAGTATAGAGAATGATGCCCTTTCTCCTAGCCTCACTCAAGGTCTGGTCACATTGATTCCCAAACCTAGAAAAGACGTGCTTTTTATTGATAACTGGAGACCCATTTGTGGTTATAAAATGATGGCGTTAATATTTGCCAGGAGAATTAAAGTAACTCTTGACACAATTATAGATGAGACACAGTCAGGCTTTATGAGGAATAGGCACATGTCTAATAATATTAGACTAGTATTAGATATTCTTGACTACTTTGACCTGATATCTGAAGATGGCTTCATCCTCTTCTTAGATTTATATAAGGCCTTTGATACAATAGAACACCAATTTATTTTTCTGTCTTTAGAAAAATTTGGTTTTGGGGATTTTTTCTGCAAACAATTAAAACTTCATATGTTAATGGAAATAGCTCTATTAAACTAGATTTAATCTGAAAGGGGGCATTCATCAGGGATGCCCGATTTCACCTTATCTGTTTTTACTTTGTACACAAATTCTCACAACTCATGTCGTTAACAGTGTTATACAAGGAATTTCTATTGCAGGTAGGAATATCATCATCAGTCAGCTTGCTGACGATACCACAATCTTTCTAAAAATGCTAACCAGATACCTGTCGCCATTCATGTTATTAACCACTTTTCAGAGGCCTCTGGTCTATGTCTAAATATAAATAAATGTGAACTGTTACCTTTAAAAGATTTTAATATGCAAACTATTTGCAACATTCCGATCAAGGAAGAAGTTACATACTTTGGTATTCTTATCTCTAAAGATCAGAAAATGAGATGTCATTAAAAAACTTAAAACAAATTGAATCAGTGGTTGCAAAGGGACTTATCTCTAAAAGGCAGTTACTTACCAAGGCTGAAGGGATATCTCGGCTTACATACACAGCTCTCTCTTTACACCTGGACAGTAACATTTGTAAAGATATTGATTTCATCTGAAAAACGGTTCACATTATATAAAGAAAAGTGTTGTTATGAATAATTATGAATCTGGTGGGCTCAACTTTTTGGACTTTAATACACTAAACAATACTTTTAAGATAAATTGGGCTAAGCATTTTCTAAAAAACCCTGTCTCGATTTGGAATTTTATGCCCCACTATATATTCTCTTGTTTTGGTGGTCTGAGCTTTATTTTGAACTGTAATTACAATGTGGACAAACTCCCTGTGAAACTGTCCAATCTCCATAAGCAGGTCCTTTTAGCATGGTCTCTCATTTATAAGCACAATTTCTCACCACACAGGTCTCTAATTTGGAATAACAGAGATATTTTATATAAAAACAAGTCACTCTTTTTTGAGAGTTGGGTACAAAATCAGATTTTGGGGGGGGGCTTTTTTTTCGGAGGGGGGCGACTTTCTAAGGAGATCAACATGTTTTTATATACCTTATATATAAAATAATATTCCGTCACATTTGCAATTGTATTTGACGCCATTCCATCAGGCTCATCCCCCCGCTGTGGCTGAACACTATTGGCAAAACATTTCACCCAAATAGCAGATTCGTCATTGACCATATTTATAAAGACTTTTTATTTATTATTTGATTTATATTTATTGTGGGAGATATTGTAAAATTGGGTGATTCCCCCTCAAATCTTTTAGTTAAAAAAGGTGAAGGAGTTTTTTTTTTTAATATTTTTTAATTTTTTTCCTTTTAATTATTTTATGGTTTAATTTAAAGAGGCATCAATAAAAAATTTTTTTTTGGGGAGACCCCCCCGAAACTGTTTTTTGCACTCTTTTGGTATTTACACACCAGAACATATTGTAAAACTAGCAGATTCTTCATTGACCATATTAATAAAGATTATTTATCATTTATTTATATTTATTGTAGAGGTTTTGCTTTAATTAAAGTAAAAAAATATGTACTTCATTATAAATGTATTAATTCTGTTGGCAACATTCCACATTCATAAATGTAAATTCAACTGTAAAAAACCTAATTTTGTACTTTTTCTCCATGAATTTGTACATTATATTAATTTGATTTCAGGCTCCGACAACAAAAAGTTAACATATGGTCCTCTTTCTCTTTTTATTACATATAAGCTTCCCCTGGCAAAGCTTTATTTCACTTTGTTTGTGTTTTATATGTTTGTATACTGTTACAGATATATATATATATATATATATATATATATATATATATATATATATATATCTGTAAGTCACATCTGAATTGTAATCCCCTTTTTGCAATAAAGATGACTTTGAAATGTAAACACACTCTGTCCTTTTCACTTTCTCTTGCTGCTGATGATCTTACTTTCTCTTTGTCTTTGGGTTACAGTAGTTCAGTGTGCATTATTCAGTAATGTATTAACACTCACCCTGCCACAGCCTTCAGTTTTCTTCCGTCTGCTCTGTCAGCTCAAAATGGACCCTGCGTTTCATCCGTAGTTCCACTTCCCCTCAGCCCTTGGTATGACGTAACAGCATACGTCGCACGGAGGCCACTTGGAGCGCGGAGGGAAAGTGGGCGGGGGAGGAGCGGGGAGGAGCGGGGGAGGAGCGGGGAGGAGCGGGGGAGGAGCGGGGAGGAGCGGGGGATTTAAATGAAACGCACTTGGCCTTGGAGTCTACTCATTGGCAGCCGTCGGCGTTGTAGCCATAGACACATATAGACATATAGACACATATACATATATACATATAGACATATACACATATACACATATACAAAACAAACACAAAAATAAACAAAAAAAAACATAAAAATAAAACATAACATATAACATAAAACATAAACACATAAATGTAGACATATAGACATATATACATATAGACACATATACATATAGACATATAGACACATATACATATAGACATATATACATATAGACACATATACATATAGACATATATACATATAGACATATATAGACATATAGACACATATACATATAGACACATATACATATATACATATAGACATATAAACATATAGACACATATACATATAGACATATAGACATATATACATATAGACATATAGACATATATACATATAACACATATACATATAGACATAAAACACATAACATATAGACATATAGACATATATACATAGACATACAGACATATATACATATAGACATATAGGCATATAGACATAAGTTATATACATATAGACATATATACATATAGACACATATACATATAGACATATAGACACATATACATATAGACATATAGACATATATACATAGACGCCGCATCGACTGTGGAGCAGTGTGCATATGTAACTTATACAGCAGTAATATGTAGAATTATAATTACACAAAATCTGTTTTAATAGTTAGAAGCTGACATGTCCTCCTGAGTCAATATGTGGAACGGCTGAGACTCAGTTTCTGTCCCCCGACCTTCACTTTCGTGGGTCCCCCCTATAATTAAATGTGTCTCACGCTGTTGCTGTTGTACTTGGGAGAGGTGAGAGACACTGTGTCACAGAAACTCTTTTAGCCTCTGTTAAACTCCATTTATAAGTTTAGCTGCTAGATTTAACCTATTGTGTAGCACGCTAACATATTTCTGTCGTTTCCTTTGTGTCGGAGCTCACGGTGACAACGACTGACCGGAGGATATTGTTGTTATTAAAATATTAAAATGAGCCAATACTGCTGGTAACCTAGCAACTGAGCGTGAGCGCGTGTTGTGGCGAATCATGGCTCATTTGAATATTTAAATGACTCATTTGCATATTTAAATGAGCCATGTGTTGATTCGTCACGACACGACAATGTAACCAATGAAATGATTTATTCTGACGCACTTTTTTAGCCAATAAGAATGAAACTAACGCGGTGACGTGTGAGAAGGCGGTGCAGCCGGACTGACAGACAGAGTAAAGATCAGTGGTTTCATATTAAAGCTCTGTTCTAACCAAAGCTGACATCACTGTGGTTAATACCACAAAAACAACAGTTTATATATATATATTTATACAGTTGAGGAGGATGGTCGCTAATGTAACTGCTAACTAAACCTAGTTATGATAATAAGTGTAGTTACTAATTATTATAGTTTTAGTAAACTGAGGTGGCTGATAGCTAACAAAGATAATGTTCAGCTTTTTATTCTGTAACTTTATCAAATCTGTCAAATCTGATTCTCCATGATTCCTCTGAGGTCTCATCACTCCCAACAATTCATATAGTCTCATTTTTATAAGAGAAGACAATTCATAATTCACAATAAGCACAATGAACTTTTGGCTCACAGTTTATAATAATTTTGGCTCACAGTTTATCTTTTATTGATATGATTTCAGATTCTGTTTATTCTTGTTGATTTGAACTCCAGTGTTTTGGGGTAAGAAATAAATCTTTGTTGTAGTTTGCTGGTGGAGCCACCAGGGGGAGACTGTGACTGTTTCAGAGCTTCACTGGTTTCCATCCTGAAGAGCTGAAAGAAGAAAGAAGAGGAGCAACCTGCAGCCAAACATGAGAAACAAACCAGAAGCAGATTTAACATGTGATCACGTCGAATCAGGAAACATTTCTTTTATTCAGAAACATTATATCAATACTTGTTCAAGTCAATTCAGTTTTATTTGTATCACTAAATCATAACAGAAAGAGTAAAGATCCACAGCAGCAACAACTATACTAAAAATGACTAATTATGAATAATAATAATAATAATAATAATAATAATAACAATAATAATAACAATAATAGCTTGCACTCAAATCCTTTCAAACTAATTATTTTAAAGTGCTCAATTTGTTTGAATTTAATCTTAAATAAAAGGTCTGTTAAGCGTCTTTCCTCCAGCATTTATTCATATTTTGCTGAATACAAACAGTTTTTCAGAGACTGTATCAGTTCCTTTTACAGTCACTCAGAGAAGCAAGAAAAGAGCCACACTATATTAATGTTTACTTGTTATGGATGTTTTTATTGCATGAGATTTGGCAGTTACCCCCCAAAAAGGCAAAACATTCAATTCCATCATAATAATAAAGAAAATGTATATTTGCATACTGTAATCAGCCTTCATGTAGGTATTTGCACTTAGACATTAACTAGTTTCAAATACAGTAAAAACTCACTTTATTACATTCATGATTATCTTAAAGTTATCCTACTGAACTAAATTCATCAGGCCAACAGGCCTCAACTCAGGCAAAAGGTTTCCTCTATATTCCTTCCACCTTCCAATGAGCATGCAGCAAAGAAATATACACCACTAGCAACCAAACTAAAAGTATAACTCCTATAAAACCAAGAACAGAAGTGGACTTGAAACTCCAAAAAACCCAACTGCTGCACAAATGAGGAAACATTGTTCAAATAAATACATTCAGCAGAAAATATGCCACCGCAGAGTGCAAAACATGAATACAAAAACAAGTAATGTAACAAAGACAGCTGATTTAAGGTAGTGCTGCTCAAACTTGAACAAAGAGACAGATTGAAATTCAGTGGGAAAACAAAAAAAAATTAAGTAAAAGTATGAATAAAGCAAGATCTTTTGCAACTTTTTGTTGTTTGCTTTTAAATATCAGATCCTGGTTTGTGCCATAACACACTTATTGGAGAACACCCTGTTGTACAAGAGCTCTCAGGAACCTTTAAGGTTCTTTTAAATTTGATGTTAGTGGTCTTATATTCTACATTGATGACATGGTAAAATAAATAAATCAATTGGAAAAACGCTAGTATTTAACTTGTGTTAACTAGTTTTGTGTAAATCCCTAGAGGACCAAGAACGATTCCCTGAGGAGCTCCATAATGAATGTTGAAACCAGACAGTTTTTCTGGATACTTTGAATTATTTAGAGTGTTTTCAAGGTACTTTGCTGGCGTGGAACCTATTTGGATCACATAGGAACTGTTTATCACACATGGATAAGACTGGATTTTTCAGTTTCTCTGCAACTGATTTCACAGCAACAAGGACTCGACCTTCAAACCTGCTGCTTGTCAACAGGATTATGACCGACATGTTTTGCAGTGTTATGAGAGCGAAATGAACATTTTAAAAACATCTAAAACTATTTGTCTTTATCACAATTTTAGCTTGGATATGATGAGCAAAAGGCTGAACTCTGGAATGTGTCATATAATTTGATGACTGTTGTTTTCTTTGCAGTGTTTTATGTGATGGTCGGAATATGTTTACAGTGGTTTCTTAACTCAAATTCATAGTTATTCAAGACAAATAAATTAAACCTGTAAATGTGTTTAAAGAGGCACATTAGAATTAACTGGGTAATTTCAGCTGGCTAACATGTTAGCCTGGAGTTAAACCATGTTTGAAGAACCTTGAGGTGAACATTTTGTTCTGACAGTGTGTGACAGAGTTCAGTGTTTTATCCTGTTGATCCTGTTTTACGCGTTCATACCAGCTCTGCCACAGAGGGTGGGACTACTCCAGAAGTGACTACAGTTACTAAACTATATCAACTAAAACCAAAAACACACACTGACCCTGTTTAACCATTAGCTGGACTGAAGACTGCAAAAGTATGTTGTTATTTATAGCTGGAACATAAACGCAGATGATATTTAAGTATTTTCCTTTTAGCCCTGAGTACATTTTATCATTATTATTTACAAGATAGTTAACCTTCAAGAGGAAACACATCAAGTGTTTCAAACATTTACTTGTACAAAGTAATCTTTAGTAGAAAATGAACATGTGAATAACCCAACAACAAAATCTCACTTATAAACACTGGATTCTTTTGTTTGTATTTACAGCACTGGATGTTACAGTTATGATCTTCATTACTGTATAAAAAGACAAATCGAGTTGTGATCTGTTTCAATAATCTAAAAATAAAAAATAAAACACACAGAAAGCTGCTCTCAGTTTCTGCTTTGCTGCAACTTAAAAAACTTGAAGATTTAAGAATAATTCACAGATTCTGCTGTGAATAATAATAATAATTATATTTGTTCACCAATCACAACCCACATTCACCTCCAGTCTTAATATCCATGAGAAACACGTATAATCCAGAGTGTCTCTGCTGCTACACTCCGCTGTTCTCCTTTATCCAGCTGCGGTATTTAGTGACTCGGGTGTAGACGCCGGGTTTGTTTCTGCGAGCACAGCCGTCGCCCCAGCTCACCACGCCAGCCAGGAAGGCCCGCCCACTGAGGCCGGTGACAGACAGCGGCCCGCCGGAGTCGCCCTGAGAGAGTCAGAGAGGAGAGAGACAGCAGATTTCTCAACATTCAAATAAATATCTCATATTTGAGGCAGAATGGGAAGAACAAGAAAACCTCCGTTTGTCAGAAATTCCTAAAATCTCCATCTTGGGCTTAAACCCACGATATTGTGGATTTAATACTGGTTATTAATGTACTGTGGTATATTGAAATCATATCATGAACGTGTACATGGAGCTCTGAATTTTGCCCTCTCATGCCTGTTATGGATCAATAACTTGACAATAACAATGATCTGCGTTACCTGACAGGCGTCCACGCCTCCTCTCAGGACTCCAGCACACAGCATCCTGTCGGTGACTTCGTCCATCAGAGTCTTACACACCGTGCTGTTGATGATCCGAACCTCCGCCTTCTGCAGGATGGTTGCCGCAAAGCCTGAAGGATGAGACGATCAGATCTTATAGATCCCCTCCAGACATGTATTAAGACAAACAGTATATATATACAAACAGTCTGAATGGGTGTCTGGTGTGTTTTTCTACACACAAAATGTATAATTTATTTAATTTAAGTTGTTGATTATAACACTGTTGTTCTGTGTTAACTTACCTCCCTCTCTGTGTTGCCCCCCAGCCCGTGATCCACGCCACTTGGCCTGCTGGGAAGTCGTAGGTGGGTGAGGGCAGACAGATGGGCCAGATGTTCTGGTTGAGGGTTACGTTGGTGTCCAGCTCCATCAGAGCGATGTCGTTGTCGTAGGTCAAGCTGTTGTAGTTTTGATGAGCGATGATACGCCTCACGTTCCTCCTCACTGTCCACTCATTGGTCTGACTCTGCACATGCAGGCCCAGCAAGGCCTCCCATTGGTCCGCCTGGGAGTACCTACATAGACACACACTCCAGAGGTCAGAGGTCGCATCTGCTGGGGGAAGCAGTGGAATCAAACTCTGCAAGACATCTAGAGTGAGATTAATCTGAAAGGTTATATATATACATATAGATATAATGGAGATATAATAGAGTAATGGATGATGATGATACACAAGGTAAAATTAGCGTTTTAGTTTATTTCAAGAAAATTAATCATTAGACATTTCTGTTTTGACTATTTTGTCATAACAGCGAAGCCGCGTTTGGATTGAACTTTAAATAACATTTGCTGTAACATATATAATATAGGAAAGACATGAATTGTATCCATAATGAAAGAGCTTGTATTTGGAGCTCCTACTTGTTTGGTCCGTTGTCCTGTACACAGTGAGCGGCGGTCAGCAGCCAGCGGTTGCTCAACACCGACGCTCCACACACGTGACCTACACCCCTGATGTGGAGGCTGACCTGCCAGGGCCACTCCCCCTCCCGGGACGCCTGACCGCCCACGATACGAGAGCTCCGGTACGGCCGCAGCCCGCACTCTGAAGACACAGAAACAAATACAAATGTGCAAAAATAACGTACAGCTGATGGTAAAAACAACTGTGTGTGTGTGTGTGTGTGTGTGTGTGTGTGTGTGTGTGTGTGTGTGTGTGTGTGTGTGTGTGGTAGACGTACGGCAGCTGTTCTCGTCAGAGCCGTCCTCACAGTCCTGCTCTCCGTCACACTCTGGGTTCAGTTTGCTGATGCAGCGTCCGGTCCTGCAGCGGAAGGTGAACTCTGAACACTGCTGCAACACCAGAGCTGACCAACAGGAGACACACAGATATTAATACTGACACTGACACAGTACTGTTGATTATAACAGTTTTACCGGCACAGAACTGGTGTCTCATTTATAAAAGTCTATTCAAATGAAATGGTCACTCCATCAATCCTGCACATCCTGTTTATTTTCTTTATTCTGGTTAGTCGTCGTCATAACACACGGTTGTATGATGTCGTCTATGGCCTGATGATGTCAGAGTGATGTCCTCAGGATTAGAGACTACAAATGTCTGCAGCAATAGGGTTTATCCATTAGCACTTTAAACCTGAGATGTTCCAAGCAGGCTGCAGCCAACGTGTGACGTGACGTTATTATGCCAAATATTTGCAATGCTTTTATTATTTATAAAGCTTTTGTTTATGAAGCTTTAAATGACCTTGCACCTCCATACAAGAGACTCTTTCACTTTATGTCCTCCACTGCTTTTCTTTTAAAATGTTCCTTATGTGTGTTTATAGCTGTGGAACTCACTGCTCTCTCAGTATTATTAAAAGGAAATTAAAGACCTATTGTTTTAATTTGGCTTTTGATTTAATCTAAAAGCCAAATTAGATAATAATTTAATCTCATAGCCTTTGTTTTTAGGTTTTATATTATGTGTCTCCCTGGTGTTTATTTTTATATCGACTTTTATTCTTTTGATGTTTTTATTATTTATTTTATTTTATTGTTTCCATTGTATTTATTTTTAGCCGTATTTATTGTTGGTAATTTTTTTGTTTGTTATGCAAAGCACTTTGGGCTGCACGCCTGTATGAAAGATGCTGTACGTGTATAGTTGAGTTATTCAATAAATCATCAAAGCAGAAGAAAGTGTGAGATACATTATTCAGGACTGTATAATATTCCTTTAATATTTCTGTAGTGTCTTTTCCTGACCAGTTTAGTAACTTAACAGTAATCAAGTGTGTAATACAGTATCAATGTAATGTCAAATATTTCTTAAGTTATTTAAGACATCTCTGTCCATCAGCAGTTTTGTGTGAGATAAAGTTTTTTTTTTACTGAACTTTAAATAAGAGTTGTTGCTTACATTTTTCACATTTAGACTCATCTGATCCATCTGAGCAGTCATCGACTCCGTTACACTTCAACTTCTGTGAGATACAGCGTTTGTTCCTGCAGGCAAACTCTTCTGGTTTACACTTTACTGCAAAAGAAACAAAAGAACCGCTAGTGAGTTTTTGTCCCTATGGAAGTTTCAAACATTCAGATCTTTTCATAACATGAACTACAGTATGAAAAGACAATTTTCAGAATTTAGTCTGTGGATATGCACGTGAATGTCGCTGGATGCATCTGGAGGATCAACAGTTTTTACTTTATTTATGAACACCTTCATCCATCTGTAATTCAGTTTAACCCACCACAGTTTTCCTCGTCTGTGTTGTCTCCGCAGTCGTCATTGCCGTCGCATTTCCAGAACTTTGGTTTACAGCGGCCATTTTTACACTTCATCTGAGATGCCTCGCATGCTAGAGCAAAGACACAAAGAAAAACATGTTAGTCCATCTTTTAATACTCTCTGAGAGCCCACTGGTTGCTGAACCTGGAGTTAAGAGTATTTTTCAGGCTGAATCAGGATTTTTATATACACACACACACACACACACAATTTAAATAATTCCTAACTTAAATTTTTCTGTGACGATAAAAACAATTTGTTTGTGGTTTGGACTCACTGCAGCCGTCCTCGTCGCTGCTGTCGCCACAGTCGTTCCAGCCGTCACACTGCAGAGTGCTGTTGATGCACAGGTTGTTGGTGCACTGGAACCTTCCAGGACAAGCTGATCAAAAACATCAAACAGTCAGACACTGAAGAAGGGAATCAGTCTAGAAACTGAAGTATGGTTGGGAAAGTGAACAGAAATTGCAGTTATTGGGGGAAAAACCCCCACTACTAAATCAGTCTTACGATTATCAGGGACAAAGGCTTCGTACTCGGCAGTGAAACCCTGGTCAACGATAGACGAGTCGGAGTTAAATTTAATGGTCATCACGTTGCTTCGGCTGGTGACCACGGTGCTTTCTGGCTTACTGCCACACAGTCTACAACAAAGAGACACAAAGAAGAATCAGCAGGACAGTTTCTGACTGTCAGAAAATCTGGATGGACATAATTAAACACTCAGGTCCTGCTGTTGTCCAGAGTGATTCTTATTCCTCAAGTCTAAAGTCCTCAACGTTTGAACCTAAAATCACAGACCTGCTTACTTAAGTTCTAAACAATGACATGGACCCACAAAACACATTACATTTGGGTTACATTACACTTGGACTCAAAACTCTTTGGTCTTGATTTGAGACTTGACCTGGGACTTTTTGGTCTAGTTTGTGTTGGGACGTGACTTGGACCTTACTGATCTGGACTTGAAGTTGTTGACAAGTAGCTTTACTTAGAACTTGTTGGTGTTGACTTGGGACTAGGCTTTGGATTTATTGGTCTACCAAACGGGAATTAACATGGGACTTTAAACGTAGTACAAGTAAAAGTTTGATGACATCATGTCCCTGTCGTTTCAGTGATATCTGGAGTCGTGTCTGGTCATGTCTAAGTCTTTGCACACTTACCATGCTGATAATGATCATGTTAGAGTCAAATGTCCTACAAGTCACCCCTGTCTTGCCAAAGCCATGACTTGTTTAAGTCACAAGTTTCAAGCCCTCAGAATCCATCTCTTTGAAATTGACTATTGGTGACTATATTAGTAAGGAGAAAGAAAGGTGGGAACAAACCACTGATGGCTGACCTTTGACCATTGACGTCAACATAATCATTGGAACACTGGCTGCTGTACTTTCCCAAGAGGAACTTTTTGAAGTGAACCTTCAGAAACTTTTTCACAGGGGCCTGAAAAATAAAGATAATGGAGACAAGACAATCAAACAGGACTACAAAATCCCAAATTAGGTCAAAATAATTACATGTTCTACATATGAACTGCATGTATTTAAGAATAATCATCTGTATGTAATTCTACACAATGACTACACCAAGTGACATGTTAATTTGTCATGGTCATGATTTTATATAATAATAATAATAATAATAATAATAATAATACATTTTATTTAAAGACGCCTCTCTGGGCAATCAAGGACACCGTACAACACATAAGAATAAAAACAGTAGTTTTAGTTTAGCATGATAGCATACTGACTTTAGTCTTTAGCTCAAAGTGCTGCTGTGTCTCAGTGGACTCTTAAAGCAGCTGTAGTTGATATTTTGGCCACTTGGAGGCAACAAAATACTCTGTAGACACAACACTGATATACACCAATTAGCTATAACATTATGACCACCTGGACCCCCTAACTGGTCCCAGACCAACAGAATGCTCTGCACTGTGTGTTCTGACCCCTTTCTATCAGAACCAGCATTAACTGTTTCAGCAGTTTGAGCTACAGTAGCTCGTCTGTTGGATCGGACCACACGGGCCAGCCTTCACTCCCCATGTGCATCAATGAGCCTCGGCCCCCCATTACCCTGTCTCCAGTTTTTCTCCTTCCTTGGACCACTTTTGATAGGTACTGACCTCTACAGACCGGGAACACCCCACAAGAGCAGGTTTGGAGATGTTCTTCATACAACACAATGTGGCCCTTGTCAAAGTGGCTCAGATCCTCATGCTGCCCATTTTTCCTGCTTCTAACAACAAATGTTGTCCAATTTCCTTTTTCTTTTAACTCTGTTATTGGCCTCATCCAATGGTCTCTTTAGCTATTAAATGTTCCACTTTCTTCATCAGCTAGCCTCTAACTGTCTGTCTGCTGTTTGCTGTGTTGTAGTGGCTTTATCAGAGCTTGTTGGGTTTATAAGTATGAGCGACACTTTTACACATAGAAATAAACAAAATATTGATTAGATATAACAGTGTGAGATATTATTTGCCACTGCTGAAGAACCATAAGGCCTTGTTGTTCTCATTAGAACAATAAAATGTGGACTTACCTCGATTTTCCAGACACATGTAGTCCGTGGAGGATAGTTGGATGGGAAGAAAGGTGAGGAGAAGGAGCCTTTGTCTCCAGTCAGTGTACCTCCACACTCTGAACAAGGAGACAGTTCACACTGATGTGTTAGAGCTTAACATAATCAACTAATCAAAACTAACAGTAGAGAGGTCAGAGGTTACACTGATAACATCCTACAATGACCATGAGGAAAAAAGGTTACTAAGTGTAATGGTGCGTTCTATTTGTCCACCCGACTCGATCTGCGAGTCGGTTTCCTGAGTTACGAACCGGAAGTTGCAAATAGAACGCCCCCCGGGGTCGTATATACGACTCGTCAAGTCGTCTGAACTCAGAGGACCCCGAGTTCAGTTACCAAGATGGCTACTCAGAGCGTCACACGTAGTAAACATTGTGGTTTTCTACTATTTTAAGCACTTTTGTCTTTGTTGTAACAAATGAAGAAGTCGTACACACAGCACTGTATACTGTTACCTAAAGGCATGTCGCTAGTCTTATTATGTGTTAAATACGCCTCATTAGTTAGTCAAGTTGTAGCTTGTGCAGCTGAAATTGGCGAGAGACGCTCCATGTTGCTATGACAACAGTGCCGAGTCTTCAGCAGAAAGCAGAGCAGTAGCCTAAAGTTAACGTTAATCAGAACGGAATATTCAGATATCAAACTGTAAAATATGATTGTGTAATATGTAATGAACGTGTGAAATCTGCGGTGGGTGCACTGTAAACCAGATAATCACTATACTATAGCGACTTTCCTGGAGGTGTCCATCTTTTCTCCGACTCGTCTTGTTGTGTGCCAAAGAGAACGCAAAAACCCACAGTTACTTTCCAACACGGATGTGACCTCACTCTCGAGCTGCAAGTCCCGATTACGAGACAAAATGAACGCCCCATAAGTACTGTGACACTACTTATGCAGTTTATACAGCAATATTCAGAATCCTAACATCTTAACCCCTTTAAAAAAAAAACACTTTAATTTTTTGTTTCCAATAATAAAAAAAACAAATGTGCAGTCTAATATGGTGATTCAATAAAAACTGACATTTGGCTGGAAAATTAAACAAAACTGAACTGAAACTGAACCTTAAAATAATTTTATTTTAACTTTTATTTTCATTGATTAAAATGTCTTAAAACCCAAAGTAACATCTTCAAATGTCTTGTTTTGTCCAACTAACAGTCCAGACAGTGATATTACGGCTGTTTGTGGTTAAACTAAAGCTCCATCTCTGTAGGGATCCTTTCCATAATGCTGTCAGACACTGACAATAACAACCTGAGTCTGTCAGTGGCAGAAACAACTACTGTTAGTGGAACAAACAACCACTACTGTTAGTGGACGACACTGTGACGGGGGCGCATTTGTCCCAAGGGATTACGTTGCGGTCACTGCAGCCTGTTTCAAGTATATTTGGGTTTATTTGGACCAAGCCAGAGTTGGTGATTGTTGGAAACACTGGCACTTGCAACACAATGGTTTAAGCTTTAAATAGAAGAAAGTGGAGTCGACCCCATTGGCTGAAAGTTTTTTTTGTTTGAGTAAAAGTTTTTGGAGCAAATGTCAGAATCTTGAAACAGGTCTAGGATTATATTCGAAAGATCACCACTCCAGAATCATGGCAATAAAATAAGAAAAAGAAAATTCAGAAAAGTGTCATTCAACCCAAGAAATCTGATTATTGTTGTGTTTGCTGCCATACTTTGTTCAATCAGAGGGATCTGGGAGTAGTTGGCTCTGAAGCCGGGGAAGTTCTTTTCCTCGCTGGTGACCAGAGTCAGCAACATGACATTCCCAGAAGACAGGTAGGACAGGGAATTATGAGGGTATCCACACTGTCTGAAGAGGGAGCACAGAAACATGGAGCTGTTAGTGCTGAAACTTTAATTTTCCCTCTCATCTAACTCAGATCTGATCTTCTAAAGAGTCCTTTTGAAACTTTGAACTTTAATAAAGTACTAGTTTGCGTCTCACTCTGTCAGGACTCGGGGCTCTATCGTAGCCAGGGAGTCGTAGATTTTGATGAAGTCTTGTTGGCAGTCGTCCTCCAGGATCAGAGTGTGGAAGTCCAGTCGGACTCGGTGCCCGGGGTCGGCCCTAAGCCTCCACTTAAGGTAGACGTTTGGTGGGTACGAAGTGTCTGGAAACCCCGGAGACTGGACGATTCCCGCTTCTTTGACGTGGATGTTGAATGACTTTTTCACTGAATATATAACAAAGAAAACATTATTTTTTCTGACTGCCCCTAAAATACCAATGCAATGGGATCTTATAACATACATTTACATGACGTAAAGTTTTTGAGTCTTGTCAGATGTGGAACAACATACAAAAGAAACAATGAGTTTCCAATTGACTTATTTAGGGTTTTTTCTAATCACCCTTGTTGGCTTGAACCCCGGAATAACAGCTATATTTTTACATTCAAAAAAATTTTAATTTTCATTTTTCAAAAATTCATTTTTGTGATGTCACCTTTAAGTCAAAATAACTTCATTACAATTCAATAAGGAATAAGGAGCATTTGAAACGACATCCACTTGTATTTAATTGACTGCTTGTTTCAGTATCAAGCTTGAAGTGCCGGAGATCAGAACGGTGCCTCTGTCCTTGTTTAGAATATCTTTACATTGAACGAACTTGATATAAACATTAAAACACATAACTTCTATTAATAGGAATGAATAGTTCTCACCAAATAAAGTGGTCCTCGTCATGCGTGGGTCTATAGCTGTGAACAAAAAGAAAAACTGAATCTTTATTTAAATAAAAAATATGTTGTTTCCAAAAAATGTTATATTCCTTTCAAAGTTTATTTAGTCGTGTTTTCTCTGTTCTTATTTATAGTTGCCCGTTTAAATCTAATATAAGATATAATAATTATTGCTTTTGAAACAAATTGAACATTTTAAATACAGACTTATATTTATAACGTCTCTGTTCTTTGTTGGACAGTGTGTGTCCTCTGTGCTGCAATGCTGTCACCTGCTGGTCACTGAGTTATAAACCTCTGCAGCTCCATCAAATTACCTTTTAACATTCCTGCAGGGCATTCATTAGTTAGGTTCATCAGTATAAAATCAATGTCCTACAATTCTGACACATTCGAGCTCAGTATTTGTGGTTTTATACAATCCAATTAACTTATTAACCTTTTATTGACCCTTGACCCCTGACCTACAGCTTGACATGACCTGAATTTTGAAGAATCTGCAAGGTCGTGATATACACCGAGATGTCAGCAGGAGGTTTGCATTGGTTTAGCTGTTTGGTAGGCGAGGCTGCTGGACTTGCAAGATCAGCTTTTGGGGTTGGTTTGTTAAACAAGCATTGCAGCTGCTGAAGAGGTTAATGATAGGTTATCATTGAAATGTCTGAGCGGTCAGACCTCGTGAGATGACGCTGTTGACGCTGAGCGGGTCGGTGGGTTTCAGCAGCACTCGTCCTTGTCGACTCTGCTGACTTCCTGCAGGCGGCTCCAGGGACTCGACGGCTACGTCCAGTGAGGCCTCCTGGTTGATGTGGACGTCAAACTCTGACTGGTAATACGCCACGACGCCATCACCTCCGCCATCTCCCTCGCTACAGGAACAGATGAGCGTCAGATCTCATATTCATATAATATCCTACAACAGTTAGATAACAGTATAGATAATTTGGGAAAATGCTGTTATTCTGAGATGTTCAGATGGACATCAGTCTCATGTGTTCACTACAGAGCTAGAGTAGGATGTTAGCCTAGCTTAGCATAAAGACTGGAAGCAGGGTGAAACAGCTAGCCTGGCTCTGTTCAAAGGTTAAAAATAGCAACAGCTAATTTGAGAGAATTATTCATTTAAGCAATTTTCAGGTAAACTGAACATTCCTTATACAGACATTTCACTTCACATCACAGAGAAAACATGCAACTATAAAGTGTTTCTGATGGAACGTGTACCTGAAGGCCTGGACTGTGGAGCCTTTGAAGTATTTGGCCAGAACTGAATTTTTGGAGTAAATCAGTTTGAGCTAAAAGATAAAAAGGTCACACAGACGTTAATAAAATATTATTATAATCTGTTCAACAAACACAGAAATACAGAACAGGAAGCCGTGAAGCAGAAGTGGTCGGAAATGTCACAGCTCAGACTGACAGGCAGTCACAGGCACGGAGAACTCCCATGATGCTTTGTGTGAAGTCTAACCTGCTTGTTGACCAGAGCGGCCAGGCTTTTAAAATCACGACTGCTGGGATCTTCATACGATGGCATGAAACGCTGGTTATTGATCCCCATGGAGCCGATATAAACCTTCTTGACTCTGACGTCACTGCGTACTGAAGACAGGAGGGAGGAGCTATTAGTCAGTAGAAGTTCATTCATCAATGTGAATATAAATAACACACTTGGGGGATGACTGAACTTCATGTTTTTCAAGCATCAGAACCCCAAAATGACTCGTTTCAATATCAGAATTTGATCCATTCAGTCAGATAACATTTTTTAAAAAGTCTAAAAGATTTGCAATTACACATTCTTTATCATGCTTCAGGTGCCATTGAGCAGCTTTCATAGGAATGAACAGAGCACCGCCTCCAACGCTGTATCCAGTTCTCTTCTATCCATCCATCCGAGATAAGACATTACTTCCTGTTTTGTAACTTACAGGAAGTTTTTCTTTTTTATCTTGTACATTTTCTTTATTATCAGTTCATCAGGAGGGTGTGTAGATTCTACGTGCACAGTTTTGTGTAGATTGAGATTTTCAAGACTTTCAGCCTTGGAGGAGTTTGAAAAAGTGGGTTTTGCATATTTCATTTTTTGCAACAAATGCGCCACCTAGTGGCCGGGTGGGCACCACAGTTTACGCAGCGCCTTAGTGAGGCATGGGGGGCTCCTGGTTTTTTGTTAATCGGGCAACCCAATGTAGAGATCTGACATCACTTCCTAAATAAATCTGTGATCGAGATCAAGGAGAAATTTAACTTCCCTCCCTTCATGAAAAATAAAAAATACATACCCTTCACTTTATCTGACGCCCATATCTCACTAACACTTTGAATTTTAAAGCCTAAGGTTCTCAAACTGATTATCTTGCAGCTGAACGATGACACACTAATAAGCTTGCCTTTCACTGAGAGTTTCTATTTGAATAATCATCCCATTAAAGCCTTCCTATCAGTCTGATGTTTGCTTTCATTCAGAAGCAGCTGATAACAGAATCAGCTCCCGTCTGAATGTGTTGCCTCCTGGTGTTTAAATAAAGGTTGTTAAACTGAGCTCACAGTGGAAGTGCCAGACCAGCAGCCCAGTGAGCAGCGCCAGAGCGGCAGCCAAAACCAGCAGGCCGAGCCCGATCCAGAGCTTCTTCCTGCGGCCAGGTTTCTTCTCCAGCCGCTTGGAGTCTGTGGCCGGCAGGAACTGCAGGTTGGTGTCCCAGTCCGGCTCCTGCAGACAGAGAGACACAGGAGGGAGGATGGGAGAGGAGGACAGAGATTTTTGTTCAGATGTTCTACCTGGCTCGCTGTTGATATTGTGAATCTCAGCCGGCTGTTGGTCGCTACAAGAAAACGCTGACAGAACGCAATGTCAGCAGTTTTGTTGGGACTATTTTTTTGGTTCAAAGAGACATAAATCTCTTCTGGATAAATAAAATCAAGACTATCTGCATGTGTAGACACCAGGAATTATGTATTTTGTAATTTGGGTGAACCTTTAAGATTGTTGCACTGTTGAGTGGACAAAACAAGACACCTGAAGACAGTGTAGTAGTACTCCACATGTCCAGAAGCATAGTTACTAATTTCTCACAGTGTTGTATGTTGCAGCAATAGATGCATCACTGAGGTCACAAAGCAGACAATCAACTTCCATGTACATTGGTGTCGGTCCAAATGTGCAAATTATAGCATGACATGATCAATATATTCTGTATGCGTTCTTACATGACACACTGACTGCTCTCACTGAAGCATTCACTGCTACAATTAGAATCTAAAAAGTCAAAATTATGAGATTTAGTTCAAGGCCGTCATATGTCCACAGTCTGACTGTCAATACAGGATCAATATCATCCATAAAGATACAGTGTATACTGATCAATCTCACCCATAAAGATACAGTGTATACTGATCAATATCATCCATAAAGATACAGTGTATACTGATCAATATCACCCATAAAGATACAGTGTATACTGATCAATATCATCCATACAGATACAGTGTATACCGATCAATTTCATCTATTTATCTCATAAATACTGAATATTGGGCCCAGCGCTATCCGTCCCTGCGGGTTGAGTAATAAAGTGCAGTGAGGTTATTATTCAGGCTGCTCTCTGTGTGAACCTGTTCAGCTGTGACGAGGTGAAGCAGGGTGTTGCTGGATAGGAATGTCTATACTAATACTTATGTATCGCTTGTCAGCATGTTGTGTCCTGCACCCTCCAACAGTGCTTTAAACGTACACACCCTGTTCCACCGCGTGACTTAAAGCTGCACCTGCAAACAGCCAGAAAAGGTTAAAGCAGCTCCGACACGAACATTTCTATTTGTACAGCTGCTCAAAGACGTGTTTTATACTAGATATACCTGTGAGACACCCCCTAGTGGCAGGAATTATACACTGTACATTGTAATTATTTTCACCATCACTTCTGTTTGATTTATCCATCGGGTATTTGCTCTCTAATATTTAAATGTGTTGTTTTGTGCTAAATTCTCCTCATTGCTTAAAACGCCCTCAACAACCTCAATGACCTCCAGCACCGACCCTGGGGAGGACAGGGCCATCGCTGTCCCCTCCCTCTGGAACTCCTCAGACTCTCTCCCTCACTGCCATTCTTCAAAACTGCACTCACGACTCATCTATTTACTTTGTCTGTGTTTTATTGTTCCTCTGGTTTTATTTTTGCTGTGTTTTCTTACTGAGGCTGCTTTTACTGTTTCTGCTATGGTCTGTTAGCATGTAGTCCCGAGAGAGAGAGAGAGAGAGAGAGAGAGAACAAAAAACCCTTAGTATATCTTTAGTTTCCTGTTAAGACAGTTATAATACAGGCTTTTATTTTGAAACCATCCTCAGTTTCCAGTTAAAATTGTTTTACTGTATAGGGCTTTTATTATTGTAGGAGGAAGAGACGCACTGTTCATTTTTATATGTTCATAGTTTATATTTATGTGTTTGTGTGTAACAGATATTATCGATTCATCTGCAGATTATTTCTTTATACCACCCCAGTTTGATTTTATAGAAATCTCCACATTTGAGAGGCTGAAAACAGAAACTTCCGTCCATTTCACATGAAAACGTTACAGCTTGAACCAAAACCATCGATCAATCGATCAATCGATCAATCGATCCATTATTACATTTACATTTATTTAAAGAAGTCAAACTCAGTAAATGTGTCCTGTAAATGGTTACAGAACAGAACCCAGAGGCATTAAACCCAGCCCACTCTGACCTGTACACTGTGGTTATTGATACTTTGATTTCTCTTTAATAGTTTCGGTTTTTAATCTCTGGTGAAACCTGTACGGGCTGTGACGTCAGCGCCGGGTCACTGTTCCAGGTAGAGGACTCACCTGTCTGGGACTGAACTTCTGTCCTGAGTCCAGTAAATCCATGTCGCTCCAGGTCCCCCTTTTTGTCTTTTATTCCGTCCTCGGTTCGTCTCGCGCTGTCTCCCGGTGAGTCTCGCGCTCTGCTGCCATTACCGCCCCGCTGACATGATGGCGGCGACAGGTGAGCGGCGACAGGTAGCGACAAAGAGCGAGATTAAAGTCGTCCTTTTTTTAAACTCCCGGGGGTATGATACCGGTACTGTTTCCGGGTCGCGGTGAGATCCGGGTCGGACGGGTTCCGACCGCAGGAGTTCGGTTCTGGAGGACGGAGGAGGATCTGGCGACAACAAGAAGAACAAGGAAACTGGCGACAGCAGAGATCAAAGAGACCACAGAGAATGGTCACACCTGATCTCCCATGATTCACTGCGCGACTGAAACCCTCCGCAGCTGGAATAACAACAGAGTATAAATAGATAAAGTTTATACTGAAGTACAGTGCTGGAGCAAATGTATGGAGTCTGTAGAGTGCCCACAGAATAATTAACTCTGTTCATTATTAAATAGGCCAATCTTAGAAATGAATTAACAAAAAATTTATTGAAATTCTGCATCATAAAAATACCACTGAATTATTATATATATATATAAATTAATAGGTTATAGCCTATGTATACATTAAGTTGATTGACGTATTCTGTGTTTTAATTCATAGTTTAAATTTAAAATTGAATAGCAAAATGAATTTGAACATTGTTTCAATCAAATAAATATTTGGCTCCGGTATTATTTTTGATTTCTCTCTAAAAAAGTTTTATTATATTTATTATTTAATATACTGTTTTTTGGTAACTTTTTGTTTCTTTTTACTTATTTGTTTGTTTTTTGTAGTGTATCATGCATGTCTGCGTACATCAATAAAGGTGTTTTGTTTTGTTTTTTTCGTAATTTTCTTTTTTATTGTTTTTTAAAAGGAAAACTACTTATTTATGTCGTTTATAAAATAATACATCAGATTATACATCATTAGGAATATCATATTATATTGCTGTTGGAAAGGGTACAGCTCTTTAGTACATATTTCCATATAGATATTCTGGCTATGAATCAGCTTGTAAGACTGGTTCCCAACCACTAGAGGGAGTCAAAGCATCACTGAATTTGTCAAAAAATAAGCCTATTGAGTATTTATGATTTAAAAAAATCAAAATACAGACAGAATTGTATAAAAAGTTCCAAAAAATATCCAGAAAACTCATCTCTGATCAATATTCACAGGAAATAATTTGTTCAAAATGCCTCCAAATCACTGGTTTTACACAAACATTAAATATAATAAGAAATATCCATAAAATATAGTGAGTTTACTCAACAATAGAAAAGAAAGGAAGGAAAACATGACGTTCTGTATTATCATCAAAGGTACAATGATTATAAAACTTTCTTCTATCAAAATAAAGCATGTTTGTGCTTATGAAGATACACGCTAGAGATGAAAACATTTCCCAAAGTCATTTGGATACGCTGCTGAAACATTCAAGTCAAAGTCACAACAGAAACTACACACACTATAATTCATCAGCAATCATCAATACATGCAAAAACATATAAAAACTTAACATAATCATAATTACATCCAACACAAACTAAGCAAACGTCAGATATAATGGATACAATTCAGAGCACCGTAACCCAAAACACAACCACAATGAAAACAAATAAAGGCAATAAAAGCCCACAGTCTCACATCTGTACCAAAGTTTATCCATTCAATAGTTGTTGAGATATTTCAGCTAAAAAAGTTAGCAATACATTGTGATTTTACTCTGTCACAGTGTTGGTTCAGACAACCTGTTACAATACAGCATTAGTTTATGTTTAATCTCCATAAATCTAAATATAATGTTAAAGCAGTTAAAAACACTTTGTATGAAAGACACTGGACCTCACTCACAGTTGAGTTGATTGTCCAAGAGATGAAGAATCACTTGGTTGTCTGGAAAAAGAGGGCTCGGCTGGTGGCCTGGAAGAAGAGGGGTCGGCTGCTGTTTGGGAAAAAAGGGCGCTGTTTGGGGAAAAAGGGGCGGCTGCTGTTTGGGAAAGTGCGGCGCTGTTTGAAAAGGGGTCGGCTCTCTTCGGAAGAGGGGTCGGCGCTGTTTGGAGAGGTCGGCTCTCTTCGAAGAAGGGGGTCGGCTGGTCTTTCGGAAAAGCTCTTTGGAAGAAGAGTTAAGAGTCTTCAGCTGTTTCGGAAGAAGGGGGCTTTTGGAAGAAGAGGGGTTGGCTGGTTTTGGCTCTTTAATTAGATCTTCAGCTACTTCAAAACAGTTTCCCCATTCTTCGTTTTCCACATAGGTGTTGAGTTTTTTTGTCAGCTTCTCTTTTGCAGCTTCTTTCAGTCTGTTCTTCACCATATCTGCCTCTTCTTCCAAAATAATCGTGTTAAAAAGAACACTTTTCTTGCAACAAAATGATTTTTCTGAACTGTCAGCATTGCAGCATTTCTTCCACGGTATCGAAGACATAAGGGCAGCCACAGTTGTGACACAGACGAGAAGAGGCAAGCCAACAACCTGAAAAACAGCATCAAATAACTGGTTGTATTATCACAGGATCTTTTTTGTTCTTGTAGCAACTTTGTAAAGGTGAATAAAATGTTCATGAAAAGGTGTGCCCAAGGTTAAATACCAGGGTCATTAGTCTTTTTTATTTCAAAAAATTATCTTGTATCAATAGGACGGGATCTCAAAGATCCAGCCAGCGATGACATAATTTTATTCATATCGATCTAAAACCTTTATTGCCCTGTTAGATCTCATAACCAAAATTGCCCATCCAGGGTAAAAAATAAGTAAGAGTGAGGTGACCTGTTCAAGACCTGTGAGGCAAACTTGCAGTAGCGATTGATTCAGTCAGCCCATATAGCTGACTGAATCAATCGCGAACAGGGGTCAGCTGTCAAACCCACGTCAATTTTGTTTCTTTCTCTTGGCCATGAAACACCTGATATCCACAACATTTTTACATGATGGGAATCCATTTTCTACCATATTTCTGCGCCATAATTAGAGCATGTAAGTGTAATAAAAGTGAATCATATATTTGACACTATAGTTTAAAGATATTTCCTAATGGTCGGAGCACCACAATGACAGTCTCTGTAAAGAGAGCACAGTTTTCCTAGTATGTGTCTAAATGTTTTTTTCATACTAAAGAGGCTATCTGTTACAGGTTGCTCAAGTGCCTTTAATAGTGACAAGCATGATGTCATCAATAAAGAAGGATAAAAAACTCACCCTAGAATTGTTTTTCAGCTCAGCAATGATTACTCGTTCCTCTGCTGTGATGTTAGTCTTGTCTTTGCAGGCTAACTGTGCCTGTAGTTCAGTCTGGTCATTCCAACAGCAAACATACCAGTCTCCATCCATTAACACAGATGAAACCCACAGGGATCCAATGAAAGCTGCTTTGATAATATGATACCATATAACACAACAAAAGGTACTTTTACAATACCCCCATGTGTATTTCAAGGCTCTCTGAAAGGTCTTGTCCATCCAGAGTATTAAGACAATTATTAAAAATGCTGGCAGAGTCATGTATAACCAGCAGTCTCTGAGCGGTTTTTTGCAGGTGCAAGTCAAGTCCTTTTCAAAAATGACATGGTAAGCAAAAATCATGATGACTGTAGCGTAGATGCTGGCTGTTTTAGAGACGTGTTTAGCAAACTGGTGCAGTGCTGTTTGTAAACTCTCCATGTCTGGTGGAAGGTTTGATTCTGCTCAGACCTGCAGCCTGTGCCACCTGAACATATACTGTACCAACAGGAAACCAAGCTTTTCCTGTTGTTGCAAAAAAGCTGCTTGCATACTTTTGACCAACGCAGTAGGTACCCTATATGAGCTGTCTGAGAGTCACACCAGCACCTTTCTTTCATTTGTTATACTTTACATTATTGAGGGTTAATCATCGTCAATCTTCTTATGATAAGTTCTCATCAAGCTAATTCACGGATTGCATTGATTAATTGATTTCTACTAAGTAGCAACGATATGATATACTTTTATACTTAATGTATACATATATTTATACTGTATCTTCTTGTGACTGTAAGATGTTCCTTCCTTTTTGCCACATAACCTATTAGACAACAGGCTTGTTTTTAATGAATATATATGCAAACAATAACGTATTTAATTTGTTTTACCACAATATCCACTTGTAGCAACAGAGGCATGATTTCAGTTTTTTGTGGGTATGTTTAGGCACTCAAAGCACTTGGTTAAGGGTCAAGAAAGATGCTGATGTTAAAAAAGTCAACAGTGACTTATAGCACGAGACATGTAAATAAAACCACAACCTTTCACTGACCTTAACAAAAGCGCTTTTGTTGTCTAACACTAAACCACAGATGTGAAACTCAGGATGTGAACATCGCTCTCAAGAACCACCAGTGCTGTGTCATTTGTGAACAAGTTGCAGACTCCTGTATGTAAACGATGGGAACCAACTAGCATCTGAGAGCCTATTTTGTTTTTTGTTTTTTTGTTTAAGACAGAATAATAAGATGATCCTATAATGAATTTGTTAAATACAATCCAGAAATATTTCACTTTGGTGAGAAGCAAGGTGAGACTTTTGTATGTTGCCCTAGTCCCACACCCAGTGCTGTAGTACCAGACTCCAGATGTTTTACTCTATTGTCCCGGACTTGTCTTGTATTTGCACTTGGACTTGGCCTTTGGTATTGTCTTAATTTGTCTCTCTTATTTGGATTCAGTTTTGACTTGGACTGAATCTTTTTGGAGTTGGACTTAACTAGGACTCAAACCTCTTTTTGGACATTCATTTAAAAAAGTTGAACAGACAGTTTCCCTGGAAGTGTACTACATCATGAATTAATGGACACCCACCAGCCAATCAGAATTGACTCTACACCCATGGTATAAAGAATCATATAACATTCCAAACCAAATTTAGCAAAAATAAGATATAATGCATGCAATTCAAAGTACCATCACCCAAAAAGCATCAGCATCAAAGGACAGGTTGTATTATCACAGCATCTTTGTGTCCTTGTAGCAACTTCCTAAAGGTCAATAAAAGGTTAATGAAAGGGTGTGCCCCATTGTTCTATACCAGGGCCATTAGTCTTTTTTATTTATAAAAACAATCTTTGTGATTCATTGACTTATTACAAATGCAAAGAGTACATTTATCTAATTAATAGTATCAATTGGTTTTTGTCAGACTAACACATTGACTTGCCCACGGACATTCAGCTTACTTTCTTGTTTGCCAAGATGGTAAATGGTAAATGGTAAATGACTGTATTTGTATAGCACCTTTCTAGTCTTCCAACCACTGAAACGCTTTTATACTACATACCACATTTGCCCTTTCACACACAATAACACAGCAATGGTGAAGCCCATCGAACACAAAACTAACTCATTCACACACCAGTGCACAGCATTGGGAGCAATTTTGGGTTCAGTATCTTGCTCATGAATACTTTGACATGCAGCGGGAGGAGCCAGGGATAGAACCCTCCGATTAGTGGACAACCCGCTCTACCTCTTAGTCACAGCCACAGATATGCTGTTCCTTTCGCAGTATATCATGGTATTTGTCATGGTATTAAAGTTCTCCAGAATACTTCACCTTTAACAGTCTTTCCTCATCACGTTGATAAAACCAACATTGCAAGTTTTTCAGTTCAGCAATGATTAGTCGTTCCTCTGCTGTGACGTGAAGTCTTGTCTTTGAAGGCTAACTGTGCCTGTAGTTCAGACTGGTCATTGCAACACAGATGAAACCCACAGGAATCCAATGAAAGCTGTTTTGAGACTTTGATACAATAAAACAAATTCCCACATGTGTATTATATTTATTATATTATATTATAGAGGCTCTCTGAAAGTCCATCCAGTGTCACAAGTATAGCGATAGATCTGTGTTTTGCTTTGCCTCTGCCCTTTTCCAGGTACCACTCTCCCCTCCGTGCTGTAGAGTGAATGGTCCAACCCACCGACAGTCAATTGCTCATTTTGACCGACCTGCCAACAAGCAGACAGGGCCGGTGGGCGAGATGGCAGCTTAGAGCTGTGTGTGTTGGTTGTTTCTAACTAAGGTGGCGTTTTACTGACATTACTCCCTCTGTGGAGGGAGGTGATCACTAACATTTCATCTGTATAATTAACAGCTTGTGTTCACAGTTAAGTTAGTAATTTTGCTTTCTAGTAGTTTTTAGTTGGGACTTTTAGCTTTTCGTTTGTATGTATTTTAATTTATATTGTTAATAAAAGTCAATTTTGTTTGCACATATGGTTTGCACATATGGTTTGCACACCCCAAAAACATAAAACAGATAGAAAAATGCTTTCTTCATCTAATCCTTTCTAAATGTAGCACTTGAAGCATTTCAGCGTATTTGATGTCAATGTACTTTTATGATGAAATTCTTGGTTGTATCCACACAGCTGAGTGCACTCAACAGTAAGTCGCTTTGGATAAATGTGCCAGCTAAATAAATGTAATGTAAGATATAACATACATTAATATCAAAGTAATACACACATACCATCAACAGTTATCACAGTCAGAAACAGCACTTTATCTAGCCCCTAGCTTCATACTTTGAGTGGACAAAAGTGTACTTCCACTTGAAATACTCAATCCAGACACAGGTATAACGAGGAAACACAACACTCGAAGCTCTCAGTGTTTCACCCCCCTCAGTCCCCTGCTCCACTTTGAGATTGACTGTCTTGTAATCCACATTCTAGTCACTAGAGGTTGCTGCTCCATTAGTTTCCACTCTCAATCTAAACCTCACTGCATGTATTTATTCTGCAGGTTTGGAAGTTGTTCAAAGGGTTTTCTACCACAATCCTGACAACAGCCAGAATACAAGTGACTGGATGAGTTCAGAACAAAATCAAAGCACAACATGTTCTGGTTTCTCTTGTCTTTATTAGTGGAATGGAATATACACCTCTGTGCTTTAATGCTGTTTTCTCCTCCTTTCATTCACCACTGCTCTCTCTCTCTCTGAGACTTATGGTCCATCAGTACACTGGACGAAGAACTGTTGAACTCAGAGGCATCTGAAGTGCTGGTCGTCGTCTCAACTGGTTATTTATTTCCTCCCGTTTGTCTCCCCGGCATTTAACCGATGTGCTTTCATTGTTTGTCTGATAATAAATGTAGTTTGTTGGTTTGAATTAATTCGAAGAACAAACAGGACAGCCACTTCAGATGAAAAACCTACTCTTAAAAACAGCTGTTGGACAATTTATGAGCAACTTGACACCAAGTATTAGCTGGAAAACGCCTGTTTCACATATTCAAAAGCTCACGTAACTCTGGTTTTATGCAGTAGCTCCGAGCTCTTAAGAAAGAAATCTAATGGAAATGATCAGCTAGATAGGACTATAGAAAGAAAAAATTTGCTACACAACAATCTTCGTTATATTTAGAATATGCTCTAAACTTTGTTTTTTGCTGTGAATAACAGTCTTTGGTTTAACTGGTGACAACTGGTAGATATGTGCAACCAGTGTTGAGAGGGTCACAAGCAGATATTGCTTCGATTTAAGGGGTCACTGGTCAAATAAGTTGGGTATCTCAGGTGTCTCTAGACTGGGACCACAACCAATCTTTAATTAAAAGCTTAAGAATGAAGTCTGGTGTTAAGTTGCTCTTTAAATCTCCGTCTGAGGCTGTGACATACAGGCAACATCTGGCTAGAAAATTAGTTAAATGCTAAATTTCACTTTTGTCAAATAACATTTAAAAACTATGACTGGACTGATCAATACTCTGAATTATGATTAATAATATCTTTGCGTCATTATCTGATGTGCTACTCATATTGATTTCCAGTTGCCAATCCATATCCGTATTCACAAAAATCCTGATATGAAAGTAACCCCCCCCCCAAAATGATTAGTGACATGACGCAAAGATAATCAATTATAAATTTTGATTATAGATCAATCACATTAGTCAATTAGCTACAATTAACTTGCTTTTACATTTTCATGAAACAATGAACTCATCAATCCAGGGAACATTAGATCAATGAAAATGTGAAAATTAACATTTGAAATATTCTTCAGATGTTTCCTGTTTGTTGACATCAGAGCGACAGCTGCAGAAATAAATATCAATACCTACAACGGATTAAATGACTCAACAGTAGATCTCAGTAAAGTGCACTAGAGCTACGGCTCCCAGCCACCAAGCCTCCGTAGGATCAGTTAACATTTAATTTCACAGTTTAACATCACTTTCCTCATCAGATAAAGAAAGAAGTAAAATAAATTACAAGAATAAGTTACTAAAAACCTATTTTCAAACTAATTTCCTGTATAATGCAGCAATTTAAAACAAAAAAAATTAAAGACCAGGTTCATTACCCAGAAAATTGCAAAAATGTTTAAACTAATTCAGCTAAAACTGCTGACTGATGCTGTGAAAACTGTTGTACGGAAGGCCAAACGGGACATAAATTAGTTAATTGGGCAATACATGTTTTAACAGTTTTAATAGTTTCAAATTTAAATGAGTACATAGAGGGAACATAATCAATTATGTTCGCTTATAAATTAATCGTTTAAAGTCAGTAATAATGCTAACTCAAGGCCCATCTTTATCTGGAGCTTTTAACCGTATTGGAGCAAAATCTTTTCATCAGTGAAGACTATGAGAATTGGTTGAAAGCCCCGGAAAAAGCTAATTTAAAAACAAAGTTGTTAAATTATATAATATTTAAATCTATTACGCATCATCATCATTCCAATAATTCTGCAGTTAAATGATGATGATTTATTGGGGAGCAGAGGCCGGCTGGGAGCTACAGCTACACAACAAAGTGAAAACATTAAGACTTTTTTTTGACAATAAAAGTGACAAAGAGTTCAAAATCAGTGTAAAATATCCGTCCGGTGAACAGACGGCCGGTTCAGTCTCCTCTCTCACTCGTCTCTCTTTAAACTGCCGGAGAAAACAGATAAAATACCTATAACGGTATCCATGCATATTTGTGACTGCTCATCATACAAACACACACACACACTCATACAAACAAACACCCGCCCGTTCACACACACACACACACACACACACACACACACACACTCTTTGCATTCTGGCGAGGAACATGCCTGAATGATTTTTATTTTTGAACTCATTTATATACTCTGTTTTATTTCTTCTTGGTAATCTAACTTCTCGGTGGTGCAAACACTCGTCTTGAAAAGTTTCGGGACAGGGAAAGAGGGGGAGGATGAGAAAAACAAACCAATGACTGATAGGAGAGGGAAAAAAAACAGTCGTCATGCAAAAGAACGGATGATGAGATTTCTTTCCCCATTGTGTTGTGTTTTTTTTCTAGCTTTTTTATTCTTTGATATGGTTGATAAATTCCTATGATCAGTAGTGCTACTTCTACTGCACAAGGCTCATGCACGGAGAAACGCCAGTCAGGTACCCGACGACTTTCATCTCTTATCTTTTTTTTCTTTTTCTTTTTTTGGTTTGAGGATTTGATTGGAAGATGCAGGTGAAAGTTTATGATACAAAATATGTTACAGTATGTACGTCTTGTCTCCTGTCTGCATGTCACTCACTCACACTCTTGCTTCTGATTGGTCGAGGAAACGCTTCACCGAAACGCTAGCAGGTGAAGTCACGTGTGGCCGATGACGTACAGTATTAAGAGAGGACGTTTAGTTTTTAATCTGGGATTTAAAAAGTAAAACAAAGCCTTGTCTCCTTTTTGTGCGAGCTCATGTTCCACTGTTCTCTCGGGTTTCTACCATCAGTCTTTCTGGTAACCTAAATAATAATACCATTGTGTTTATAGCAGAATCTGGGTTAAAGACTTTTAAATATACACAATTTTACTTTTTAACCACTGCGGCCAAGAAATATGACCAGAAATCCCCAGTAGAAGCAGTTACATCTTGAAAATATGCTCATTAATTTAAAACTGTCCCTGTGTGTTATAGACACAGGAAATGTATTAACAGAAACAACAACTAGAATAGAATAAAAGCAATAAAATAGAACAAAGTGTGGGCTGGCAAGCGATACAGAACTATCCGCTATTGTACCACCAGCAGCTTCTTCCTTCAGTATATGAATATAAGTAACTGTATATGTTGTTTAGTTTATTTATTTAATTTAATCATTCCGTCCAGGTTTTTTTTAAGCTTTATTTAGAATTGTTGTGGCCTAAAATACCAGATTTAATGGCAGCTTCTTTAAAATTGCTAATAGTTTGGTGACGTGCATACTGCTATGATTGAAACTCAAGGAAACTACAATGATTCGTCAAATTTATGTAAATGTTTGCGGTGACTGGACAAAATTATAAGAACATGCAGAATTCATGGGGATTGGTTGAATTGAAACATGCAACTTCCTGGAGGGACTATCTGTTTTTTTTCCAGGTTAAATGTTGCAGTTACTGAAATGAATGAGATTTAAGTATCATATGTTCATAGATGACTTGGATGGCTCATTTAAGTTTATCTGTGTGTCCTTGTGAAATAGATGGAGCTAGAACAGGGGTAGTTGCTGAACTAGTAACATGTTAGCATGTTTTTTGACAGATGTTGTGATAACAATATGATTTACAATTAGTAGGAACGGTCATTTTTGCACCACAATTTTCATTCTCTGAAAAAACTATTAAAATCATGATGATGCGACTTTTGTTGGGGTCTGTTTCGATTGTCACATATTTTACCTTTATCAAACAAGCTTCTGCGATTTGCATATTGCAATTGACCATATTGTGATTTTGATCAAAACTTGATTGTGCAGCCGACACTCATTTATCTCATTATCCAATTAATCTGGACAGAAAAGCTCATGAATGTTTTTCAGCTTTTCAGAAAAACTAGTGGAAGAAACGCTCCTAGAGAAAAAACACAGAGGAACTGAAGCTAGAGGAACAGAGGAGAATTTGAAAGAGGACTCAGCTTTCTACAAAGACAGTAGTTGGTGAGTTCATTGATTGATGGTTCACCACCTGATTCTTCCCAGAGAACTCAGCTAAAGGCGCCTGTTCAATTTATTAGTAGCCAAGATATTTTGGCAGGAAAAAGTGGGTCAATTTAGCCAACGTAGGCTATGTTCAAACGGCCTTATTTTACTTTTTATTTTAGATTAAATATGATCCTTTCATGTATTTTGCATTAGTAGGTTTTGACGCTCTTGAAATTAGGGAGGATTAACAATAAATAAGACTAAATTTATCTTTCCCGCCTTAATGAATGTGATGAAAACAACCCTTTCCTTCGGGTTACGTCATCGGGACAAACGTGATTTTAGTGCTAAAGAGCTTTCGGGGTTGCATTTCCCTTTCCCATTTAAATCTATTGCAGAATACTTGTGTCCTCTCTCTCACTGAAAAGATCACATAACAAATGAATTTCTTAGTTGCTTTACATTATGTTCCCTGCAATAATTACTGTAGTTTTTATAACACACACATTATTATTGTTATTATTATTATTCTGTTCATTTGTTGATGCTATTTTCCTGCTTGTTGTAATGTTGCATATTTTGAAAAGTAAAGGCTTTCGTTCCTAGTCTGGGTGTCAGTTTCACACTGACAAACACTTCTGAGCTACAGCCAGACCAGACCAATCCATGTCAGACCTGATTAATCCAGTCCAGGATCCCTCACTTAACCCATTGTCCCTTTTAGAAGTCCAGCGCTGCTCAGACCAGTTCAGCTCCTTGAAGTTAAGATCAGCTCAGTGTAGTTGTGTGAACAGTATTCAGGCTCAGCATAGATCATTAAACCCAGTTGAGTTCAGTTCATGTGTAAAATTCATGTGTTTCAGCAGCGTCTGGATTATCGTTCCGAGATTTTCACCTCTTTCAACTGAATTCCTTTTAAAATCTCAAGAGTTCTCTGTCATTATTTCTTTACTTTCCATAAAATGTGACCTGAAGTGGCTTAAACCCAGTGAAGGAATCATCCATATATACTGCCAACTCTTCATAAAACTAAAATTCATCTTTGGTCCTCTTCAAAGACATCCTGATCCATTGCTGGGTTTAAACCTACAACCTTTACATTTCAAGCAAAAGAGGTTCGACTTTTTCTCTGCAATCAGGCTCGAAGATCCAGTCTTTTGATGTAAAGAAAAGAAACCATCCCCTTTAGGGTAAGCCAAAATACCAAACCGTACGTATCCTTTTTTTAGCTATATCGGTCTGACAGCCGTCACCTGTTTATAGCTATGGCCTCTGAAGCCACTGAAGGTTGTTTGGTTGTCAACAGATCATCTCTGTCACATCTTTTTCCTAAAAGGGTCTAAAAGAGTCTAAAAGATCCTCCAATGGTCGGCAGGCCCTCAGATTCATTGCCAAGACCAATGACTCAGTTCATTCGCGGTAGGTTTACACTGAAAAATAAGACCGCTGTCCTTGACAGCCATTTTTCACCCCTCCTCTCAATAATTAAGTTTATAGACCCAACGAAACAAAGTTGGTTTCGGGGTGCTGGGAGTCTTGGCATCTTTTCCGTCGTCGGTCCAAGATGTACCCTCCCAGGGTTTGTGCAATCAGATCCAAAAGGTCAAAACTGTGCAGGAAGGCAAGTGCGTGTTGGGGTCCGAAATGCATGAAGGGTTGATTCTTAAGACTCAGGAAAGCCTTCGGGAGGTTATAGTTCCTTTTTAAAATTCCTTGCCTTTGATTTTTGCTTGCTTTCCCAGCTCCAGTTGGCGGCTGTCTCCCATATGGGATGCCATTTTGTCTCCATTTCCATGTAATCCACAAAATGGTAAGCGAAAGTAACCAGCAGGTACTCAAAGTATCCGTCTGAGAAGTCTTTGTCCCCGAAATCTCAGCTAGCAGTGCCCTGGGTTCAGGATCAGAGGTTTAAAGGAAGTTCATGGGGAGGTTGGCGGGTGGGGCGGAGGGGAGGGTGTCGAGGGGGAGGTTGCGGGCGTGGTCAGAGGTTATAAGGAGGAGATTTTGACAGTGTCGTGGGTGTAGGCGGTGGCCCGGGTGTTGCGTAGGATGCCTGGTATGGGGGCGGGCGATGGGGGGAGGCTCTCATCAGGCGTGTTGGCAGGCGGCGTGGGGATGCTGATAATAGCAGCGGTGAAATCTTGTTCCCCGCAGTTCAGCTTCAGGTCACCCGTCTGGGCGTTCAGACTGGAACGACTGAGGAGACAAACACAAAGAGTAAGATTATCGCTCCTGGTGGAGCCTCCTGCCATGGTCCTGCTAGATTGCCATTGCCAATACTGTTGTTGCTGTGCACCTGTCTGTCTGTTTGTCTCTCTCTCTGTCTCTGTCTGTCTCTCTCTCTCTCTCTCTCTCTTTCACCCCAACTGGTCGAGACAGACGACCACCCACCTAGAGCCGAAGGATCTGTCCTAGGTTTCTTCCTTTTAACAGGCAGTGTTTCCTTGCCCTTGTCTCCAAGGTCTTGCTCATGGTGGTACTGTTGGGTCTCTGTAAATAATGTTATAAAGAGTTCGGTCTAGACCTGCTCTATTTGAAAAGTGTCCTGAGATAACTTCTGTTATGAATTGGCGCTATACAAATAAATTGAATTAAGAGAGAAATCACAATATTTGTCATGTATTTAACAAAGTAACACCCTGTTCGTCTTTTCTTTTGTGTTTTATTCTGGTTATTCGGTCATTTCAGCTTTCTCCCACCATTATCCACACCAGTGCTGCCCCTGGTCTTGCCCTCAGTTCAACCCGTATAAATCCATAGTATTACACAGCTTTCTCTTCTTGTTGCCAGATTGTCTTTATTCTACGTTGTGTGTTCATCAATCTCCAGCTATTTTCTAGTAACTTTTATATTTCTTGTGTGGATTTGTTTGCTTTTTCTGGACTGATGTCTGGTTCTCCAGTGAAGATGTTGACTTTCTACATTTTTTGTCCTGTGCTTCTCTCTGCATCTGAGTCTCTGTTAAACCAGAAATCTTTACAATCAACAACAATTTCTGCATTTAAATTTGGTGTACATCAAGGCTCTGCATTTGGGCCACTGCTGTTTATATTTATCTCTTGTGGTTTATCTATTTGCGTACATCTTCATGTATGTTTTATTGGTCAGTGAACATTATCTCTGTTTACGTTTGTGGTGGTATGGAGGTGGTTTTGATGTGCAGGGTGTCCAGCTCCTGGACGCTCCCCCGGCTGACGGACACCGTGGAGTTAGCCAGTCGCATGGCGGCTCTCCTCCTGGCCCGGCGGGGGCAGCAGCCGGTGGAATTGTTCTGTGCCCCCTGCTGGCTGGACAGGGAGGTGCTGCGACTGGTCCTGTAGCCCACCGACTCTGTCATACACAGCTCGCTATAGGTCATCTCGTTAGTGAACTCATGGTTCTGTGGGGAGAGGGCGGAGGTCAGACAGATCCTGAGGAGAATATACTAACAAGCTCCCTTGTTGGTTTAGACGCTGACATTGACATTGAAAAGTTTAATTGAAAGAAGATTAAAGGATTTAAAAGTTTTGTTTTCAATCTCAACTTTTAACGTCTTATGACTTATGTCTAATGACTAAATATAAGAAAGAGTTCTTGAACAGATACTAAATGGAACTCCTGTTTCTAAGGTCAATAATGTAGATCACTGGTACCCAACCTGGGGGTCCCGACCGCCACTTAGGCCTTCTTGATTTTAAAGGTTGTAAGAAAAGTTATATCACCTATATCTAAACATTTCATTACATTCTGTGAAGAAAACTAAATGAAATGTAGTTATTTAGTTTAAAGTTTAGATTATTATTAAGATATAAACCTAAATTAACTGCATTAGGAAAGTATGCAGTTGAAACTACGGAGGAGCTGGTAGAAAAAATTTGTAGAAAACACTGAATTTCTCAAAAAAGAAGCCTATTAAGTCTGTATGATTGTTAAAAAGGATAAAAATTCATAACACAGACAGAGAACGGTATAATAATATCAGTAAAACTCATCTCTGATCAATATTCACAGGAAATAATCAGCTAAATATTCATCCAAATCTCTGGTTTTACACAAACTTCCTGCAGTTATTGTGTTCACTGTTTGTGTTCATTGTACATTTTATCAGCTGTTCCCTACTGTTACTTTTAATATTGAATATAATATGAAAAAGGGAAGATGAACTTTCCTTTTATTAAGCAAAGTGAAATTGTGTGACTCTGAGTTTATATTAAGACTGCACGCAGATAAAGAAAGTCTGGAGGTATTTTTAAACTCCGCTAGTGTCTAAAAATGTAGAAGCAGATGGAAATATAAAGTTCAGATCTGTTTGTGATGTGACTGATGAAACGACTCAGCTCACCGTTGTCTTTTCCAGACAGTGCAGCAGGTGGTGGTGTTGATGCTCGAACGCTGATCTGTTCTTCACACACAGAGCCGTGGTGTCACTGTCCCGGTCCTGAACACACACACACACACACACACACACACACACACACACACACACACACACACACACACAAAACATGCACAAATCATTTTCATTAATGAAAAAGTAAGTAACGTTATATCTAGCTAGCTAACGTTAGCTAATTATCTAACGTTAATGTTATTACCAGAGACGGTTCAGAAAGTATAAATGTATATAGAGAATCTTTGTTATTGCCAGTGGCTCTGACAACGGAAGTTAACTTAATGTTTACAAGGCGTCACGGACCAGAGCCCCGCGAGCCTTGTAACTAACGTATTTTCAGTAAAACTCTCATAAAAAAGACTCATAGAGGGACAGACTTTGAGAGAGCAGGGCAGGTAGTTCACGTAGGGACAGCAGGGGAGACGGCCTCCCCTGACGGAGGGACAGCAGGGGAGTTTAACAGCAGAGACAGGGGCAGTTTTTTTCAAAGCCCAGGAAAATTAAATGTCCAAATTCGGGGTGCAAACAGGGATGTAGGGAGAGTTGTAGAAATGTGTATTTTGGATGTTTTCTTTCCACTGGTCTGAAAGAAGACATGTTATGGAAGCAAAATAACCCAAAATGTTTTTGCCTGCCATGTCTCCCCTTAAGGCTGCAACTAATGACTAATAGTTGATGTACCCTCGGAATCCAATTTATTTTTTATTACAATTTAGCTTACAGTTTAATTATTTATTATTTTATTTACTAAAAAATAAACTAGTTCAACACAGGTAACCACTTTTGCTTAATTTCTTTGATGGCTCAGATGTATGCTCTAGTTGATTTTGTGTTTTCCCCATTCATATCTATACAACCAATGTGTTTATGATTAAATTGTTTACAAGAGCACACAGTTCTGCATAGATCTAGCCTCTTAATTTTGCTTTCAAAGGGCATCAGATTGATGCATTTAACTTTAAAATGTAAAAAAAAATCTTCTGGGGGAGCATGCCCCCGGGTCCCCCTAGAGGGGCCGACATCCACCCACCATAGTCTCACAAAATCCTGTGGGATACACTGTAACAGATTACATGTAGTTATGTAAGCAGGATACAAAAAAAAGGTTAAAAAAAAAGAAGTAGTCAGATTACAGTTACATTTAGGAAAATGGGGATTATTAGAGGGGTTATGAAATAAGGCTCAACTCCCATTAAAACATGACCCGAAGCTGAATCCTGAATAAGATTCACAATGAATCTACACAGGTGGAATTAATAACAGGTTATCCTGACCGGCAGTGAAGCAGCCACGGAGAGGCGGATGTGACTCTGTGCCTGTACCTGTAGCTTCCCCTGTTGGAACGTACCTGGGATGATGGTTGTAATAACCTTTTGATAATGTGATCAGGCACATTCCTTCTCTCTAAGCAGAGGTGCCTCAACCTTTCCCAAAACTGAAACTTAATGGTGGCCCAAAAACAATGTTTTCTTGCTTTTATTCTATTCTAGTTTAAAATGTTTCTGTTCATACATTTCCTGTGTTTATAGCGCAGAGGGAGGGTTTGTTTAATATCGCAGCAGCTGAATAAGCTTGAAATTTTATGTTATTTTTAGGTAAAAACCTTAATTTAATGAGCATATTTTCAAGATGTAACTGCTTCTACAGGGGCCTTCTGCTTCTCGAGGGGAGGGAAGAAGCTGCTCTGTAATCTGGTGGTACGACAGCGGACACTTTTGTATCGCTTGCCAGCCTTTTTATTTCTTGCTTTAGTGCTACTTTTATACACTTTGTTCTAATTTATCGCCTATTTTATTGTTTGATTCTATTCTAGTTCAGGACAAACTTTCACTAGTTGGGAAAGTCTCCATTTGTTCATGTTAATACGAGAGAAAACTAATGTTGAAAGTTGTAATAAATCCTGAGAATCCTCCACATTTAAACTTCACTAAACTTTCCCGACTGAAGGCCAGTCGACATATAATAATAATAATCTTTAAGTCTCTTGTTTTAATCTCATCTCTCTCTTTTTCTTCACCACCAAACTAATCTCTCTTCTTTTCCTTTTCTTCCTTTCTTTGTCTCCTTCCTCCTCTCCATTTCTCCATCCGGTATGATGTTTCAGAAACAGAAACAGGAAGTCTGATCCTCCTCATCCTCTCTTCGTTTTCTTCATCCTCTTATTTTCTCCTCTCTCTTCTGCTCCTCCTCCTCCTCCTCCTCTTCACCCTCATTATGCACTTTTTAAATCCAGCAGTCATCCCTCTCTCGCCAGAGAGGGATTAGGACTCAACAATATCTGTGTGTGTGAGAGAGAGATCCACTCTCTACCTGCAGTTTAAAGCCATCTTACTGATAAAACATTGAAACCCAGTGAATGTTTCATCCCCTGACTGGAAAAAAAACAAAGTCGTGATGAAGCTGAAAGATGAAAATCGATGTGATGTTCAGAGTTCACTGGAACATTAACATCCAGCTCATTTTCTATACACAGTTTTTGGGATATGTCTATAAACTGAACAGGAATAATCAGCACCCTATAGAGGCCTCAATGTTCATTAAGCAACTGTTGGTTGGTTGCTGAGGTAAAATGACCGTTCTATTCTTTCTTTTCCACTAGTTTTTCTCTGAGGGTTGAATTAAAAGAATTACAAATAAATATTTTCAAAGAAAAAACTCAAACCACACAGGTAAAAAGTGTTGAAACATTATAGATTATTACTGTGTTCCTCTTTCAGAGATTACACAGTAAAGTTTTTTCAGACGGGGAGTGAATTAATTTAATTTTTAAATACATTTTTGGGGGCTTTTTGCCTTTATTGGAAAGGACAGATGAAACACAGCAAAGGGCCTGCGGTCGGAGTCAAACCCATGGTCGCTGCAGCAAGGATTCTGTGTACATGGGGGGCAGCTCTACCAGGTGAGGTATAGGGCCGCCCTGTGATTCAGTTTTAATGAGGTGGGCGAGCAGGTTGGGAGGCCTGGACAATCTGACAGGCCGAACAACAAGCCGATGCGATCCTACAATGGATGACAGACGGATCCTCGCTGTTTGTGAGTTTCCTTAACTATTTTTTAAAGGTTAACATTTCTGTGGCAGAGCATCGGCACAGACTGGATGTATCAACAGTTTTAATTCAAGGCCATAAAGCTATGAATTTAATCCAAATCCATCTGATTATTGTTGAGGTATTTCAGTATGGACCAGAGGGTTGGACCGGCATACTCCTCATTGAAACCGTACAGGATCCTGAAACTTCAGACTTTAAATGTGTGCATTTTGTGTCTTTGTTTGTTTTTTCAAAGAGAACTATTTATCAGTCCGATCCAGTCTGTGTGTTTATCTCTGTCTGTGCACTAATGGAGCTGATCTGGTTCCACTGTTGTTTTGCCAAGTTGCTGTACTATGATGTTCTTGTTATTGGTTGAGCTCCAAACTGCTGAGCCAGCAGCTCCTCATCTGTCTGTCTGTCTGTCTGTGTCTTTATCAGAGTCTGTCTCATTGTTTCTGCCATTGATTTCTACTCTTTCTGTCTCTGTGGTTTTCACATGGTCAGGTACAAAAACTAAGATTTATAGTCAACTGGCAGCCTGCGGGCCAGACTGGCCCACCAAAGCTACCCAAGCATTTAACTGCAGAAACACAAGTTGACTTTTATTATATTGTCTGTCAGCTTGAATCGTTTATCTAAAACGTGTCGTACGAAATAATTTGCCAGCAATTTTTGTGAGCGGATCAGTTTAAAATCTGTCAGGGAGTAATGGGACAAAAAGGAGCCACAGTGAGCTGTTAGAAGAGTTAATGAGCTGCACACCTCCAACCTCTCAGCCAGATAACCAAAGTTACTTTTACTTTCACTGTTCATAGACTTGAGGCCCAAACACACCGGCACCGCATCCATAACTGATGGTACGGTATTATTAGCTTAAAATTACGTCTGAACAAACTCACCTGAAGAGCCTATCTCCAGAGCTCTGACGTACCAGGTAATGTTTGCCAATATAATTTATAATTTCAGGCATGGCGACGTGTGATATTCATAGTGACAACTCACCCTCATTGGAGCGCCACTTAGAGGACAAAGCGAGGCTTTCTTCCCATGCCCGCCAGCTGACTTAACGGTAGTGACTGTCGACACAGACCAGTTTGTTTGTTTTTGGTCTTGTTGCTGTCTGGAGGGAGGTTACTGACTACATTATTGGTCGGTGATGGACCGATTAATTGGTTGGCCGATTATTTGGCATTTTGAGATAATCGGCTGATCTCTGCACTGGCGAGGCTGATAAACAAAAAATGTCTTCAGACACGTCTACAGGCCGCCTCTTCAGCGTAGCTGCTGTGGAACGATGAAAAAGTTTATGAGCTCTGTATAACTCTGCTTATGCCTAAATTTCCTGTTGAATAGAACAGAAATATACATGACTGATGACTTTGTGTATCTCTGCTTTCTATATACTGGCATTGGCAAGTTTACAGACTGATTTGTACCAGAACAAACAAACCACAGGTCTGAAAAAACAGTCGACAGTCCACCTACGCTGTGATTCCTGTCTCTGTCCTGACCTCTTTCTTTTGTCTTTCTCCTACATCCACTTTCTCTCTCTCTCCATCACTGTCTGAGTTAACCGGACTGTTATCCACCCTTCCTGCTTGATAGTGAGAAGCTATCGACTGTCAGTGTGTGTGTGTGTGTGTGTGTGTGTCTCACCCCGAGTGATCGGTCTTCTTTGTACTGGAGGAAGGCGTTGGCTGTTCCTTTCTTCGCCATGCGGATCCGAGCCAAACGCACTTTCTGTCGGACAGAAACACAGGAAAACAGCTCCGTCAGCACATCTCACACACACCTACACACACACACACACACACACACACACACACACACACACACACACACACACACACACACACACACACACTGTATGGGAGGTTAAAGTGAAGCACATCAGACTTCATCTGTTGTCTTTCTTTAAACTCGATGCCAGACTTTTTCCTCTACAGCTCCACTTTTAGATAATAACATTTTGCATTTTTAAAGGTGCTACCACTAATATTTCATCTCTTTACAAGATACACAGGTGAATATATATTAGTAAGTTCTCGTTGCTGTAATGTCAGTTACTCTGTAGTTGGTGGTTGAACAAACAACATCAAGTAAAATGTACACTTTGTTGTTCTACAGTATTTTAGTCTAGTAGTTTGTTAGGAAAACGAAAGATTATGTGTGGCAAGGTTAAAACTAATAATGATAATAAAAAGAAGGAAAACTGATACATTTCTCTGATCAGCAATGAAGTGAACTTTTATTTATCATTGATTAGGAAAAGTCCAAAAAACGGACACTCGGATGGAAGAAGGACATTATGTGTTTTTGTATCCTCTGTATTACACTGATGTTCCCTTCATACTATTAAATAAAGTTGTTTTATCTTCAAGCTTTATTATTAAAGTTACATACAGCATTTTGAAGGAATTTATACGGAATAAAGTAGTTTTTTATATTATCGAAAACCTCTTCTTCTGGTTTCTTTTGATGGTGACAACTTGTATGTATACAGTAAATTATGGAACTTAAAATCAACAGTACTAATATCTTTTTACTGTAATAGTAGAAAAAGCTCTACTGTATTTATAATAGTAAAGTTCTGGCAACCACAGCTGCCACTGTTTTACTGTCAAATAAAGATTAGCTAGAAGTAACTAAGTAACTAAGTGGGGCAGTGGGGTATAGTGGATGAGAAGTGTTTGCTGATGTAGTTTCCTTAAAGGAATATTTTACCTGCACCTTTAAGTCCTATAATGTAGTAAACTGAGAATCCGACCTGCTGCGCTCTCATCTTGTCCGCTCTCTGGTTCTGGTGGTAGATCCGGCTGAAGTTGGACACGATGACGGGCACCGGCAGGGCAATCACCAGCACGCCGCTGAGAGAGCAGATTGAACCGAAGATCTTCCCTGCGATGGTGTTGGGAACCATGTCACCGTACCTGCAGGAAGGAAACACTGTCATCAGTCAACATGCTGACAGATACATCAAACATCCATCCATCCATTTTCTGAGGCTTGTTCGGGTCGCAAGAACCAAAGTCTTTCTCCACGTCCTCCAGACACATAGAACTAGCTAACATTATGCAGGCAAGAATACTTGTAATTACTCACATCAATTTGACAATTTGACAACCAACACTTTCAGGTCATATTGTTTCCTCCGTGGCACCGCCATGACACTTGAACATGAACAACATGTTATGGCAGCTGAAGATTTATAGCCCAGAGCGTACAGACAGCAAGCAACTTGACAATATTCACAAGCTAGTGTACTACTGTAAAATCTGGTTTAAAATGTAATTGCAGTATTTTCTGTGTCTATGGTTACTGTTGGCGACCTAATCTAATTTAACTGTCTGCTGTGTCTATGTGAATCCAGCTTTAGTTTTTATATATATATCAAAATTAAAGATACATTTGATTGTTCATTTGTGAATATTTCTATCCAAACCAACAAACACTTTTTTTTAAAATAATATTTTAAAAGGTTAAAAAGATTTTAACGAAGATGATTATTTGTTTGCTTCAGATAGATAGATAGATAGATAGATAGATAGATAGATAGATAGATAGATAGATAGATAGATAGATAGATAGATGCTGATGTCTCTGAGGTTGTTAACGCTGTCTCCTGGCTGTAAGGCTGTTTTGTTGCACACACACACTCACAGGTTGCTGGTTGGCTCATGCGGCCTTCACCCTTCATTGTACAGAGCCATAAATCACAGGTAGTGAGACAAGGAAGAGGAGGAGGAGGAGATTAGAGAGTGGGCAGGAGGCCAGGACGGTTGGTGTGATTGTGCTCAGACTCACTGAGAGACGTTACCATACGTACCACAGAAACACCGTCTGCTCTGTTTCACTACAGCTGATGGCACAATCACAGGAAGCAGATTAAAATATAAAGTCTAGAGTCCTTTGTCTGCCCAACAGCGAGGGTGAAGCAGTGATTTTTCAGGTGGAACTGCTTTATTCAGTGTTTTTAGTGGTTTTAATCACTGGGTCCATTTGTTTTGGAGACGTCTGTGGATAATTGGGTGAGGCAAGGGTGTTGTAATCTACAACTTTACCGCAAGTTGCCAACACTACTGGACCTTTAGGGTGTAATTTCACAATAACAAGCCTATAAAATGTCTTGTAATCAGGGTTGTTTTTAACACTCTGTAGCTTTTTTATTTCTTTACTTGAACCTGAAGTTCTGTTTTAGAAAGAGTAATAAAAAGTTTTTACGTTACTTTAAAAAGAAAAAATCACTATACCTTCTATATATGAATTGTTTTAACTTTCCTAGTGATTAAATTGTAAGAGGGCTTTTCCAATTTTCTCACGTCTGTCTCGCTGTGGAATTAAAGTCTTTATATTCAAATATGCTAATGGTTTCAGACTGTACAGTAAATCAGATAAGCAGGTAACGAACTGCAGCTCTGCGCTCGTGTACCTGCTGCAGTGGATTAATGTCTGAGTCCTTCAGAGAGGCCACGACCCCGTCTGCTGTGCTAATGCTCATATCTGAGAAGCTAATTTACTTTCTTTCTATTTTTTAAAGTCAAAACTAATTTCAAAGCTGTGCACAGTCGCCCTGTGAACACGTGTTGGAATCTCCTCCCAGTTAAAGCGTTCTGTTGGAGTTGTTAGTGCAGTTCTTCTCATTTCACAATGTTACATTTATAAACATTATGCATTATATTTAAATACATACAGCTGGGCAAGAACCCGATGATCAAGCTGGGCAATCTCCATCAAGAGTGGAGCTCGAAGCTACCTTTGGTTCTAGTTAAAACTGTGCACGTTCTTGATAAAGGGAAGGAAAACAGTAAATTGTTGACAATGGAATATCAAGTTTTAAGTCTTTGTAAGCTGATTTTCATAGAGATGGAAAAAACACACTGGCTACCTTGAAGGAAGAGTAAAACAATAAAGTACAAGTGATGTGCAGTTAATGGGATAAACATACCGAACCACCACTGTGATGCTTTGAAACCTAATTATCACCTTAGTTTTCATTTCCTGTAATACCAGGCCTGAGAGAGTGTATGCTGACAGTAATTTGCTGAATGAGTGTTGGGGTCTGTGGGAGCTCAGAGTCAGTCTCGGTGTGATGACGGCACTCAGGTCAGTTTTACTGGACCTCCGCCGTCCTCGGCAGGGAGCGATATTGGCAGCCGGGAGCAGATCAATGGAGATAACAGAGAGGGCCGAGCGGAGCAGAAGTCATCTGTAATTGTTGGCAAAAAGCGCTCAGCAGAATCGAAGGAGATGTCAGACTGAAGCCAAACAGCCAGGATGGATCTGTGCTGGATCACTAACTGAATCCACCCTGAACATTAACTGCACCTAAATCTTGATCCTGACACATTTTAACTCTAATATTTCTCTCTAACAGAGGTTATTCATGCTTCTTTCTGCAGGCTCCAAAGTTTGGAAAATGAGCAAATATTGTGACACCAGATTTGTTCTGTGAGCATTATACTTCAAAACATAAATATATTAGGTTAGATAAATTGATAAATTAGACAAATTGCACATGACATTTTATATTTTGTTAGTATTTTTTTATCAAGTTTGATTCAAATCAGTCCAGTTTAGCGGCTAAATCTGTGCTAATCTGTCCAGTTAAGCGTTAAACATTGCCATTCTGGTTCACTAACGGACCAGTTTAATGGCTTAAACACTAGGTTCAGTTTAACTCATGGCTAACAACGACATAAATAGTTGGTTCAGAGAAGCTAGAGGTCAGTTTTGTTTCATTCAGCTCAGCTAACAGGTCAGTTCAGCTAAAATCGTTTGGTTCAGGATAGCTTATAGATTCATTCCGCAGATAAAACAGTTGAGATCAGGTTAGCTAACAGTTTGGTTATTATTTGTCTCCTGGCCTGGTTTCTCTGAGAAAACAGACCCAGAAGAATTTCCATATGCAAATGAACGTAACATAAGTTCACTGCAGTAACCCAAAAAACAGATGAAGGACAAAATCATAAACTTTCTAACTCCTACATCTCCTGTGAGAAAAAGAGTGAGGCACCGAGCTGCTGACGGCGAGAACACAGCTCAGACTGTAAATGTAAATGAATGAAGATGTGATGGGCCGACAGCCGACCAGAACATCTGCCAGCTGTTAACTGACACAGAACAGCTGGAACATCAGTCTCATTAGCCTGAGTTTATGGACCGTAGGGTTCCAGAAACAGCCCACACGCTGCTGCTGCATTCACCAGGTAACACCACCTGATGAACGCCATCGCTATCAACTGTCCGCTGGGAATGGCACAAATCTATATTAACAGCCTGAATTCTTATGAGGGTGCGGGGATTTCATTAAAACACTTCTTATTTATCTTCATCTCTATGTTCCCTTCTTACTAAACACCCAATACAGTTACTTGCAAAAATGGGTCCGTTCACAGCTAAAAACCTCTGGTTCCAGTTAGCTAACAGGTCAGTATAGCGGTTAGAACAGTTGGGCTCATTGCAGATGATAAAGGTAAACCTAATTATTAATTTGATGGATTACAAACGATTTGGATTTAATAATTCAATTCAATTACATTTTATTTGTATAGCGCCAAAAAAAATAAAAGAAGTTATCTCAGGACACTTTTCAAATAGAGCAGGTCTAGACCGAACTCTTTATAACATTATTTACAGAGACCCAACAGTACCACCATGAGCAAGACCTTGGAGACCGCAGCAAGGAAAAACTTCCTTTGAGGAGGCAGAAACCTCGGACAGACCTCGGCTTTAGGTGGGTGGTTGTCTGCCTCGACCAGTTGGGGTGAGAGAGAGAGAGAGAGAGAGAGAGAGAGAGAGAGAGAGAGAGAGAGAGACAGACAGAAGTGATTCCATACAGGATATCAAAATAATATAAATCCTAATTACACTTTCTGACACTTTCTACGTGAGTTCTGAGATTCACACATAGATTAAAACCGAAACACCCCTGTTTTAAAGTAAGGTCCACTAGTTATATTAATTCCTAAAAAGAACTCAAAGTCCAACAATTGAACATTATGATCTATATATTAACTGCAGAATTACTCTGTTGTGTTGCTTTATATTGAGCAACGTGTATGAGTGTGTCCCTGTCAGTCTAATTGATCCTATAATAGCTCAGCTCCCAGCGGACAGCAGAGTCTAACCTACATCGAACAGAATCGCTGTGACCTGACACCAGATCAGAGACAGACACACAAAACCTTAAAACTGGAGTTTAGAGGGTTTTTTCACAACAAAACTTTTTTGCTTCCTGGAAAACCAAAATGAATATAATCCATCTCTCTTTCTTTGCCCGTTCAGTCGGTCTCACACGAGCTGTCAGGGTCCTGGCTCTCCACCACCTCTGCGGGCATCAGTAACCAGCTCTGGTCAGATAGTGGGAGCTTCCCCGAGTGACTGCGGACGTTAAGTGCCTCAGAGAAAGGCACATTAGCAGAGAAAGGCCATAATTATTGATTAGAGGAACACCCTCTTTGTTCTCTGTCCTCTCCAGAGTCAGATGAGAAGGAAGATACCAGTTACATTCCAGTGTTTCCAAAGATAGCTCCAAGACGCCAATGTGACTGGTGCTAAATGCAAATTCTGAGCTTCTTAACCAATTTAATAGTTCATTATTATATTACTGTGCAACGTTTTAGATATTAGGAGCACATCCTACAGCCAGCCAGCAAACAGTTATATTGTGTTGTTGCTGATCAACGATCGGAGTCTTTATATAGAAAGAATACAAATATATGACATATAGAGCGACCTTATCTCATATGTCTGTGTCTGTCCAATGTGACGTTACTGTCAACTAATTCCATGGTTTGTGTTTATTAATCGATCTTTTACTCAGGACCACAGACGAAGAAAACAGGAGGGTTTTATCTCCACTTCCTGTTACTTTCTGCTGTTTACAAGGTTCATTATTAGAAGGTACGTAGGTCAGCTCAGTTTTGAAAGT